TTTTTACCAGATTAATTTATTTTAATAATTTCATTTTAGTTATATTTGAATATATATATTTCGTAAAATTGTTATAATTTTTTCTTTTTCATATTTAGAGTACTGAAAATATGTCGAAAGCTTAAGGAATCTATATTTTTTTTTAAATAGCAACAAAAAGAATTTAAATAATTTTTTGAAAAATTAATGGTTTGGTTCAGGCTGTTCTAAATTCTAATACGTTTCAAGACTCAACGTAAATAATAAATTGAAACCAGAATTCGGCCTTGGTAGAAACAACTATTTGCCAATGAATCCGAATTTTACGACAATCCCAAACTGATGTGCCTTGGCCCATAGAAGTTGTATTAGGTTTTGTATTTACTGACGAGCCGTTGTATTCCCATCGGTATTTCATGGGCCACTCGCAGCGTGCACTGAAGGACATCGGCGTTTTATCCTGTTTCAATTCCACGTCGTGCCACAAACTGGAATCGAAACACAGGCGCTGCGCCAAAGCGCATACTGAACTTGTACCACTAACCCAGTTAGGGTCCGTGTTGAATCCACAGGATGCGTACCTAGCTGCAGTCACGAATGCGTGCGAGTCCTGTAACGAACAGATGCATCGGCAAAAAATGCCGAAGCCGAAGCCATTGCCGAGCGTTGTCCTGTAAACGTTTTGGCATTTGGACGGGCGCCGAGTTCGAGCGTGTTTGAAGGTTTGAAGGCGCCACACAAAACGCCTTGAGTGTGTTCTGCGCATGTTGCGCAACATTGTTGCTGACTCAACGTGCAAATGTTTGTATACAAATTGCTAAGGTCATTGCCAATTTGCTGGTCACAGTTGTCCACGGTATTATCGCATGGTTATATCAGCTTTGATAAGCCTCCACCCAAGCGCCAACTTGTTGTTTGTATTGCAAAGATTTGAATAACGCTTATAAAGCAATATTTATAGACGACTTCTTTGCAGTTCAGCCTAATCAGCACGGTTTTTTATTGGACCCCTAATCTTCCATTTATATGCCAGACTTTCTGCTGGGCTGGTAGCACGTGCTTTTTGATTGCCATATATCTGACTATGCTCAACCTTTGGCCAAAAGCTTCCTTGCAAATATTTTAAATTATCTTTATAGTTATCTCCATCGACAACTAGCCTAATATTTCGAGTTGGGCAAAAGCAAAGACTATTCAAGCTTGAGATAACAAATAGCTATATGCATAACAAACAAATTTTTTTAATATTTTAGGTATATTTTTTGTATTTTGTATATCCCAAGCCTCCGTTCCAGGCTTTTTGCTTTATGTTTTAGACATAAATTTACCAACCATGCCCATGGAAATTATAAAACCTCGTAATTGAGTTAAGCGTCTTGATTTATTTTAAATAAATCTTTAAAAATCAGTTTGAAATCCATTCAATAAAGAAACATAAGTTGGAATTAATGTTTTTCGCCCATTTTGGTCTCGTTGTGAGAATCTTGTAACTAAAAAATAAACTTTCATTCAAATTTCGGCTTGCATTAAAAACATGCTACAAATAAAACTTCACAAAAGATATTATTAAATGAGTTTGAGGCAAGACACGGAATTTTCCCCCAAACGTTTTTCACGATTTTTCCACACTCAAAGGTGGAATTGGGTTGTAGTTTTATATTGGAATCACTATTTTTTCAACCTCATATTCATTAAACTGGAACAAAGGTGAAAAAATGAGTGAAAATGTAGCACAGAATATTATCTTAGGATGAGAGATAAAATCACAACCAATTTAAGATAATGCGCGTATATTGTAGTTCTTCTTGTAAATTCATATTATTTTATATATTACTTTTATCCCCATTTTGTATTTGGCTTCGTTCTATTGCATTTCAATTTTCTTATCACATGGTAAAATCTCAATAGTCGCAAAAAAGTGACTAAGAAATTTTTAATTAAAAAATACTCAACGCCAAGCGGTTGTAAAAAAAAAACAAAAAACAAAATAAAAACGAATGTCATTTATATCAGCTTTTGTATGACACAAGGACACTTTGAGCCCCCTCTAACCCCCCACCCCCCTGACTGACCGCACCCTGCCTCTGATAGGAAGCAACATCAGTTGCCGTTGCCTTCGTTTCACTTAGTGCTTATCTTGCGTTGACATACCTTGTCATTTGGGGCTGTCTTCGTAAAAATATCCAATGTAATTTACTGCAACAGGAAAGTCCACAAAAACAGGCAAAAGAACCTGCATAGAACATAGATGCAGCCGATGCATCAGACCTAGTTGCTATTTACTTTTATTTAGTTTCGTTTTCTATTTGACAACAGAAACTTCATTTCCATTAAAGTTCATTTTAGAATGTTATTAAATGTACAATTTAACTTTGATATATTCTGTTGGTCAAATTGAGTGAATTCTTTTGTTAAAGTATACACATTGTTTAAGAGACAAGCCTTTTGTAGTACATAGGCAGCAACTGGACTTCTGGAAAGCTACAAAAGCTATAGCCACAAAATTCGGTGTGAAGGTAATTGTATACCATTCGCAGAAGTTTGCTTAAAGTTGAGGTTGTTTACTTTTGGTTTTCTTAAGTTTTGTTTCAAGTTTAAAGCTTAACACATAAGTTTAGTTCATGTAGTTCCTGGCATCAATATACTCTTCATCATCGATACCTCTTTCTGATAAATTAACTTTATTCAAATTTTGGGTATTTGGAGTACTTTTACATTTGTATATAGATCTACTGATTAGATAATAAAAAGGTCCTGAAAATATATATTATAATATGTAGCGAATCAAATTAATCGAATCAAAAACTAAACTAAACTAGTAAAATTAAAAAAAAATTGTATGTAGTTTTTTTTTAGGCGTCAGCAAAGCTTCACATTAATTATATATAAAAAACTATATAATTATTATAATATATTAAAATATATCAATTAATTTTGCGATTACTCTAGTTTTTATTAGCCTAGTTTTTTTATATTTTGCTTTAGGTCAATTAACCTGAATCGCAAAACTATTTGTTAGTCAAAAACACTTTTATATCAGTATTGATATATAAATTTTAATTGTTTAATATTTCCGAACCTACGGCGATAATTTTCATTGTTGCAGCCATGCCGCATGCCGCATGCCCGATGCTGCGTGCTGCATGGTGCATGGTGCATGGCAGGCGAACTAGCGCCAGCTAATTTATTTGCATAATTTACTTGTTTACAATTTGGGTCGAGAGCAGCAAGAACTAGCGAGAAGAGCATTGTGATTGACATAAATGAAGTTACGACTTTGCAACAAGATGGGGCAGCAACGGACTAAACGCTGCTCGTAAGCAAGTGGAACGAGCAGCAGAAGTTGGAATGAGACAATTTATAATATTCAATTTATATGCATTTTTTTTTTGTGTCGAGATGCCCGAGACGACGGCAAAGCGAAAAACAAGACAAACAACAACAACAATTGCAACTGCTAAGCTGATAATTCCACACACACACACACACACACACACACAGAGGCACAACAGTGGACGATGTTCATCTCCTTTCATTGCAAAATAAAATCTTCATTGTGATTAATGAGATTTGTCACTTGCTTCATTTGTATTTTCCAAGCTGTTGACTTGGATCCGTGTTGCGCCTTGCCCCACAGAACAGGCATGCATATAAATTTCATAAATACTAAGAGGCTGCAATTGCAGGCCCTGAAAAGTATGCTACACTTTCGGGCAGTATGCTCGGACGAAGATTTTATACCCTTTTCAATGGTATAGAAAAGGGTATAATATTTTCTAGGTCAGCATACTTTTCTATCCGTTTGTCTGACTGTCGTTTTTTTCCCGATTTTATGAAATCGATGACGAAATCCTGTGTACTTAAGCATAGCTCGCGTTTCTCCTCAATATTCAAAAGAATTGAAGAGGTGAAGCCTTGGGCATATGTTTTTACACACATGCCATACTTGTCCGCTAAAAATTTCAGAAAGATCGGACAATATATACCGAAGTTAATCAAGAATGAATTTCCCATTGGGTATTTTCTAGTCGGGCACACTCTCTTGTTTCATAATTTACCCTTGTAAAGTCTATATTAAATTAATCACGAAATATGCGTCTGTCTGTTTCCATGCAAACCAATCCAGGTCTATCGACCTGCTGCAGGTAATATATACTTAAGTCGGAATCGGTTTTTGCTTTTGAGCAAACTTGGCATTTTTCAGCTTGACCATAATCCTTTCTTGGGTATAAAATCTTATGAGAATCTTACTTCCATATCATCTAGCTCTAGAGGAATACTTTTCCTGCTCTTTCAAAATATCTTGTGTGAAAAGCCGTGTCATATGCTTTTATTATATGGCTACTAAAAAAATAATCGGCCGGAATTTAGATGGGTATTTGGGCTTCGGCGTGCCGAAGGTAGCTGCTTTTTCTGGTTTTGATCCCAATATGCAAGAGGCAACTAGGCCATCATTGTCGTAGTCTAAGTTGCCTTATTTGACGATTGACTGGCGCTGGCAAATTTAAGGCAGGCTCTGGTTAAATTGGGCTGGCCGGGGACATAACGAAGTGGCGCATTAAATTTGACCCGGCCAATAATTCATTTGTTAAGTCCCCCCCTGGCACGCGTCCAGGCAGCAGGATAATCATGGGCCAAGGACAGCGCTGCCTTATTTTATTTTATTTACATTTTCAGTTTACATTTACATTTTCAGTTTCAGTTTCATTTTATTTTTAGTAAATTTTAAACGCTGCACTTTCGGCTAGCCGAGTGAGTTATGGCGGGCAATAAATTTCTATGACATATAAATGTAAATAATTGAGTAGCCCGGCTAGGCCGCCAGCCGTCTAGAGCGGCTGCTGGAGCTCCGTTTCGCCTTTGTCTCCCATTACCATTTGCATTTGGCCAACCGGATGCCGAGTATGAGGATGTGGTCCGTCGACGTCCTTCGTTTACCACGTGATGGATGAATCATCCCACTTTAAGGCCATTTAATTTCAAACATTTTATGCCTTCTCATAAAGCATAAAGCTCTCAAATTATAGCAGCTTGTTTTTAACAATTATATCTATATATATTTTTATTTTAATATTTGTTTACTTAAGAATATTATTTGGAGCTGCTGCCATTAAACGGTCAGCGGCATAGTGGGAAACGGTGACGTCATGTCTATTTTGAGCCTCTTTATGGTGTCGAAAATCTGATTCTGGCTCTTCAATCCGTACGCTTCAAAGGGGCGTACATTGAAGCGCGTAGTTCTGTAGAAAGAAATTCATGGCTGATGAATGAATATGTTTATATATATGTTATATGTAATTATACCTGCCACCCGAAACAGTCAGCAGGAACTTGTAGTAGCTACTCCGAATAGAGTTTGGCTCCAGAATGGCGCAGTGGAACAGCAGCGCTGTGCAGGCCGAGTATAATATCATATTGAAGTGCGTTAGTTCGGGCAGTACCCCCGCCTTGGTGCCCCAATTGTAGAGCAGTTGCAGTGTCTTCCACATCACATACAACGAAATGGTGATGTTGGGGAACTGCAGCAGGCCAATGGAGCCCAGCAGGCCGGCGGGTATGGCAAAGCTGGCGCTGTCATGCCCACAAACATTGCGCAGCCCACAAGAAATTGCCTACAAAATAACAATAGAATAATAATAAAATAAAAAAAAAAGTATAATATTATTTATAACCCTAGCAAGCGTACCTTAAATATCAGCGAGAAGCTGCCAAGGGCCAGGCCCAGCTGCAGTGAGCCCTTGTTGAAGATCTGTTTGCGCCAGTCCATCTTCAGTTTGACTATCTTGGTTATGTTCAACAGCAGCTTTAGGCCCACCTGCAGCCCCACACCGCCCACGAAGGGCTTCAGTCCGCCGAGCAGGGCGTAGGTGCCGCAGCCTTGCCGATGTGGACAACTGGGATGCTTGGCGTTGCGCATGCGATCGTACAGCTGAACATAGGCAGAGATGCTGCGAAAGTTGAGCGGCTGCCGGCAGGTGCTTTGCGTGGTGGTCACAGCGGGCGTTTTAACTGGACCCTCCTCCCCCCTGGCCATGAGAATTGTCAGCGCCTTAAAGGTGGCATCCTTGACGGTGCCCTTGTGCACGCCCAGGCGATACATAAACAGCAGAGCTGTCAGGCTGCAGCCCAAGATCAAGACTTGTCCATTCGGAATGGAGCGCACCAGGCCGCGTGCCTCCAGCATATTCCAAAGCGCCTCGGTGGCCTCATTTGCCACATACAACGCCAGCGGAGTACGTCTCGCCGGACGCTCGATGCACAGTGCCGCATAGCTGCCAATGAAGGTGGGCATAAAGGCGACTGTGCTGAAGTGGAAGCCGCCCAGTAGGCGACGCAGCAGGCACACACACAGCGTGAAGAGATAGGCGTTCGTCGAGAGAAAGGCTGACGATTTGAAAATGCCAATAATCGTGTGCTTGAGGTCCAACAGCCTGGGTATGCGCATTTTCATGACCAGCGCAAGCTGTAAATCGTAAACGTGTTATAAGAAAGGGCATATAGATCGACTGACTCCCACTTGCCAGATAAACAATGCTGTAGGTGCGCATGGAGGCGGGTATGCTGGCCAAAAAGAGTCCGCATGCACCGCAGAAACAGCTCGCTGTCCATGGATGCACATACTCATGGCAGCTGCACCTGATGGCTGCGTCCACAAGTTTGCTCTGCCCGGCCATAATATGTATATATGTATATCTTTATGCTTGGCTCACGTAGCAGGTGTTCCGATTGAGGCTTAAACAAGATTATCGCGCTGGCCGCTGCCAATGATTAGATTAACGATGGAATGCGTGCACGCGACTAAATTTGCACCCAAATGCCAACTTCTTTTATTGCAGAAAGAAGTATTTTGTTTTTTTGAATATGCAATCGTAGTTAATTTCTTTGAACACACTTCACACTTTAGTTGCAGCTTGACCTTTGCCACCGCACAGTTTTTATATCTAGAGTCGCCTAGACAGCTGCGCGCTCCACTATCGACTGGCTGCGCCGCGGCACAATTATTGAACACTATTTATTTCGGAGAATTCCATTTGTAGCTTATCGCCCAGTGTTAAACAAATGGTTGCAGGTAACTGTGCAGAGCACAGTTCTTATCGCCCCTAACATTCGGCATTTTTTATTATGCCCTTAACCCATTGAAAGTCGTTTTAGCGGGTATACTGGTTGGCTGCGAGTGTATGTAACGGGCAGAAGATGGCATCGCCTAGAGCCCGTGTCCGTCTCAGAAACTACAAAAGCTAGAGAACTGAAAGTTGTAAAATATGATAACGAATATTTCACTTTTTAGCTACCTTCATCAAAATTACGAAGAAATAAACTCATATTTTAAGATAGAATCTTGTGCTTATATATACCACGTGACAGTTATGTATGCCATATTTAGGCCCTGAAAATTTCAAATGATCGGACTATAAACTCCGAAGTTTGCCATGGTATGGAGCATAGGCAGCAAATTCAGGGTATCTCCTAGTCGGGCACGCCCATCGCACGTTAACTTCTGTTCTTTTTATAAATTATTTGAACTCTTAGCGGCACTCTTTAATACAAAATTAAGAGCTAAAGCCAAATTGCTTTTTATTAAACTTTGATAACAAAAATAAAAACACTCAATTAGTTTGTCAATATACCCCATACTAACTAGTTTGTTTAACCTGCACGCGCGATGGATATACACACGCCCACGAGTGCGGCGTATAGTAGAATTGGGTTTCTTAGATACTTACATATATATATATATATATATATATATAGATTCACACTATGAATATTATGGTAATTGAGAGGCGCGTATTTCACGCTAAATATGCGCACTTTAAGTGCTGAGACTTATTGTGTTGACACTTCTGTAGCTCGATTTAGTTCTACATTAACCGTGGGTTAGCTCAGGAGGCAAACGCAAAAGCGGGCAGCGTCTTTTTGTCAATGATTTTCAAGCTTTTCAGCATTTCGTTCGTCTGCTGCTGAGTATTCAGGCCAAAAACGTCGAAGGCGCTCAAATTGAATTTGTTTAGCCTGTTAAAAAAGGTTTCAAAAATGGTTTGTTTACGTTTTAAATTTGATTTTTTTTAGAGTCAGAGCTTACCTCTCGCCCGATATGGCCTGCAAAAATTTGTAGTAGTTGGGTCGCAGCGACTGCGCCTCAATAATGCCTGCATGGAAGAGCACAGCTGTGAAGAAGGCATAAGTGTAAAGCATAAAGTTGGGAATGCGTGGAAGAATGCCCCGCTCTTGGCCCATGGTGGCGAGTATCTGCAGAGATAAACCGAATTATTGTGTGCAAGCTTTTTCAGAGTACGACCAAAAACTCACTTGTATGGCCTTCCACATGACGTACAAGGCGACTGTATTGTCTGGATATTGGGTGAAGGCCAATGAGGCCACCAGACCTGAAGGTACTGAAAATAGAGCGTGATCCCGATTGAAGCAGTGGCGCAGTAGGCAGGACATGGACTGAAAGTGAATATGAGTTACACATGTGAGTCAAGGTATATTTTTACATTTTCACGCACCTTGTAAAGGAAGGAGAAGCTGCCCATGAAGATGCCCAGCTGTAATGTGCCCCTGTTGAAGATTTGTTTGCGCCACGGCATACGACCTTGGAATATTGTTTTCATATTCATCACCAGCTTTAATGCCACTTGCAGCGCCACGCCGCCCGCAAAGGGACGCAAGCCACCCAATATGGCATAGCTGGGGCAGCTCTGCTTATGGCGGCAGCTTTCATGCTTGGCGTGGATTAGGTTGGTGTAGACACGCACCCAATCGGCGGTGGTGGCGAATCTGACGCTGGGTCGACGGCGTGAGGGTGCCGGCTGCTCGCCGGATGCCAGGGGCTCGGAAATCACCACCGGACCGGCCTCCTCTTTGCCCACAAAAATGCGTAGTATATTGAAGATGGAGTCGTCGTTTGCGCTTATGCGGTACAAGTACAAAAGTACCGACATGCTGCAGGCAAATATAATTGTCTGGCCATGAGCCACCGAACGCACCCAGTTCCGAGATTCTGCCATTTTCCAGAGTGCTTCCGTGGCAACATTGGCAACATAGAGCGTCAGCAGCGGACGGCGCGCCGGGCGCTCCACCATAATGGCTGTGAGCGAAGACAGAAACGAGGGCAAAAAGGCAACAGTGCCAAAGTAATAGCGACCCAGTAGATTGCGCAGCAAGCAATTGTACAGGATAAAGGTGTAGGCATTGGTCACCAGAAAGGCTGTGGACTGCATGATGCCTAGCAGCGTGCGCTTTAAGTCCTCCAGCGTTGGTATACGTTGGCGCATCAGCAATGAAAAGGCGTAGACGATTGTGTAGACACGCAAACAATAGGGCGTAGCTGATAGCAATATGCCCGCCGTGGCATTTACGCACTTATCCGTCCAGGGATGCTGAAACTCCTGGCAGGTAACGCACAGCGGATCAAGCAGCTTGCTTTGAACGCCCATTATGAGTTGTATACGACTGTGAACGAATTAATAAAAATGCATTAGTTACGTGCAGCTTAATGGAGACAGGGCTAAGGCCATAAGTCCGCAAGTTGGCCTTTAATCTTATCTAATGAGCATCGATAAGGGGTTGTTGCGATTTGCACCTTTGATTTTGATTGTATCGAGGCAACAGCTAAAGAAAAAGCTATATATAGTTCACATATGTATCAATCAATTTCTTGAAAGCATTTATTTTTGTCAGTGAAAATTATTGGCTTATCTTGTTGCGCTTGCGGGTCAAGCACATAGTACACAGCTGATAAAAAAGTCATTGTACTCTGGCTTTCCACTTTATGCTCTTCTCGAACTTATCTGTGTGTTGTACTTACGCTTAATGTCTATTTTCAAAACCAGTTGTTGCTAAATCGCAACTGTGCGTTTTAGTAGTAAATTATTCTAGCCAGAACACTTTAATGACTTTGGACTCAAAGCGGAAATAATTGAGAACTTACTGTGTGTCAAATGCACTGATTTGTGCTGAAACTGCTACTGCGTTCCATTAAAATGTAAACAAAACAATTAAAACAGCTGTCCGCAGTGTGACCGTAGCCTCTTTCTGTGTTTAAGCCGCCAACGTTTTTGGAAAATATCAACCTTTGAACTTTGGTTAAGTTAAGTTTTATGGCATTTGAGTTTATTTCAATCCGCAGCCTTAATTGAATTGTGGCTTTTTAAACATAATCTGTTGTATTTTCAAGCATTTTATAATAGCGCATGTGTTTTTTAAAAATAATGCAGTTTCGCAACAAGTAAAAATATCGAGTAACATGACCATAAGTCCAGCTGTCTATTGGTATATATTTAGAAGAAATACATAATAGTTTGTATGTCTTAACTGCGCACTGTAAGGCAGCATTAAAACTGCAATTTATTTAGCTTTAAAATGCCTAATACGCGGCAAGCGTGTCTGCGACGTGTCAAGGCCTTCTAAACATGTTAACCGCTTTCTAATTTAAATATCGATATATTGCCGGCATTTGTTACGATAGTTAGTGCTATCGCACACGGGTGTTGTAGCAGTTAGCTTCGTACTGTAGACTGTATTGCTTTTCCATGTGATTTGTGAGACAATTGGCGCGCTATTAGTATAATTTTATTATAAATCTTAATTTTGTGTTGTGATAATTATAATTGTATGGGTACTGACTTAATTGCTACCATAAGGATTACCATGGCAATTACAATTCCTGTTGCCTTGAAGGCACAGTGCACAACAGAGGAGCCCTTGGTATGCTTAAATTTGTGCATTATATACACGTACATACATACATATGTATGTATGTATTAATAGTCTAATTTGAATCACAAGTTGTGAAGAGAATTGTTTGGGGGCGTGCTGCGTACGCTTTTCTAAGGTGTCCTGCCCAGAGTTGCGTCGACATACTTGACATTGCTCAGGGAATAACAAAATATTTCCTTCAGGTGAAGGGTTATGGTTAAGAGATGCTTGCCCTTACCTGTGGGCAGGCTTATTTCGCAAAACTTACGTTCCTAAGTAGTTGCCCATCACGGAATATGAAGGAGTAGATGCTCTCGCTGCTGCATAGCGTTTGCTTTTGTTGTTTTGGGTTAGCTGCTTAGGAAAATTGCGGTTGCCATTGTGTGATTTCCGCCTTTAGGGCTTAGGCAGTCAGTTGCCACGGACAACAGCCCCTCATTCAAGCTCCCGACAGCGATTGGGGCATTCATTTCATGCATACCGTCATTGGGTGGCAGCTACTTACCTAATTTACTCGAGGTGCTCCTTGGCTGTGTGAATAAATCTTTGCGTTTGACATGCCACTTTCCGCTAAATACGCACTTCAAGTTAATAGCGTTGGAGCTTGCCGTGTGTTGGGGATTGGGGTTGTGCTGGCGGCTGTGCCAATGCCAGAGGCCAAAGATACTCTCAGCATTGACATTACCTGCAGCTTGTGCAGGCTCAATTGGCAAACGATTAAATCCTGATGCCTGTTTAAATTTTTTATTAAAATTATATAAGAAAATTAATGCTTTAAATATATTTATTTTTGTTCACATTTTTGTTATTTATTTATCAATTTTTGATAATGCAAATTTTCGTACAATTTTTTATTTGTTTCCAGAGATAACTTTTGTGCAAACAGAAAAGCTATATTTGACACACCGAAAGGAAATTATTTTTTATTTTAATAATTAATGAAAATTAAGGCTTTAAGTATTTATATTTTTGTTTACACAAGAAAACAGTATTTTAAAAATTTGTATTTATCAATTTTTGATAATTCAAATTTGCGTAAAACTTTTTATTTGCTTCCAGTGATAATTTTTGTGCAAACAAAAAACTGTTTGTAAAAAAACAAAAAAAAAAAAAAAATAAACAAAGAAAATCTATATGTGACACACCGAAAGTAGAATACCCTTTAGAGATTTTTTTTTTATAAAAAAGATACTTCCCGGTAGGAGTTATGTAATAAAGAATTTTGACATGATTCTATTTTGCGCACAAAAAAAGAGAACAGTGAAGTTCGTAATTGTCCTATCCTTTATCAAAAACCATATAAGTAGTACAATGTTAATAGAATTTGGCACATTTGAGCATTGCGTAACGCCGATATTGATTTTGGTTTTTTTATTTAATAAAGCTTTTCATAGTTTAGTTAGTTTTGATCAACATTTGCTATGTCAGCTTATCTCTATATATAAAACTGTTTGTCCTGACTGACCAACTTATTGACAGACTGACTGACTGACTGATTGATGATCAAAGCACAGCCCAAACCGTAAGAGCTGGGAAGCTGAAATTTTCTCTGAGGTTACCTCATGTAATGAAGGTGCACGTTAAGACGGGGTTTCCGGAAATTCCACCCGCAAGTATAGAAAAACCTCGGACAACCGGTTGTATGAAACTTTTTTGTTAACCATCCCATCGGCCTCTAACTCATATTCAAAGATATTTGTTCAAATTCATTTGAGGGGTGTTTCGCACTTTTCGAATAATCCATTCCTCCTTGGTGGAAATGGGGGTCAAAGATTTGGTGGGTGACGTTTCGCGCTCAAATTCATTTCCAAGGATAAATATGAAAAATCATTTGAGATGTGTTACACATTTTTCGCAAAATCAAAACTTCCTCGGTAGAAAATACGTGTCAATGTTTTTTCGGGGGCAGCTTTAAGGTCCGCTCGACCTCAAACTTACATTCAAAGCCCTACAAAAGAACTTAATTAAACGTGTATCAGCGATTTTAAAAATTCCATTCGAGACTGTGGTAATTTGGCGATGAACGATTCTATGAAAGTTTATTGTTTACCATCCGTTCAACTTTAAAATCAATTTCAAATGCGCTCTTCGTGGATGATAAATGCGGATGAATATATCTAACTTTTTTTTAGCACAAAACTTGCCACGGGCAAGGCCGGGTAAAACCCGCTAGTATAGCTATATATCATAAAATACTGGTCCGATCATTTGCAGAGTTTCATGACGCTAGATTTAAAATTGAGAGAATAATAGAAGCAGACAGATGGACTGATCAAAAATGTATACACTCGATGGGATCGGAGACGGCAATTTCTAGGCGTTGCACATAAAAGACACTTTTTTCTAGTCAGATTGGGACCTAATAAATTGGCCAGCTAAAGGAGTTTGCTGTTCGAGCAAAAAGCCAAAGTAGAGCTTTGAGTGTTTATAGTGCCAAACGAGCTTCCGTTCCATCCACATAACGAGAGCTTATTAAATTGTTTGCCTTGTTAAATGCTCTGCCAGCTGCAGTTGCTCCGTCCAACATATGCTGCAGCAGCAATTGCTCATGTGGCTGGATTGCCATTGATTTTCCGGACATATCTTTTGACTAGGCTAAGGCGTCTCATCTATGCTGTCGTCGTCGTCTGGAGCTTTGCCTGTTGTTTTAGCTGCTGGTTTGGCCCAAGTGCGTGTTTGTGGGTGTGTCTTTCTCCCTGTGTGTGTGTGTGTGTTGTGCTCCTGCTTCCTTCTAAATGTGTTCAATTAAGCGGTTATAAATTGTTCATTTGCCCATTGGTGCGCATGGACAAAACAACAACAACAACAAGAGCAAGAGCAAAGGGAATGGCATCCGGTGCAACAATGGACGACACAGCAGGCGACATTATCCTCGTTGTAATATTTTACTTGGGGTTTCAGCAGGAGCCAGCAGCTTGGGCCGATAAGCGCAATATGTGTGCGTCGACATTCTACATTGATGCATATCCTGCCATTAACAAACTTGCCCATAATACACAATTAATTATACGCAATAGTTGTTATTTTATTAATTGCTGCATTTATTTTCGGTTTTATTTCTGTGCCAATTCGTCCCAGCGATCAGTAACAAGCAATTACTTGGCTAACCAGAATGTTGGCTGCCAAAACAAAAGGCCGAACTCATCAATAGTCAAGCACTTGGTTGGGGCCCGCCTGTGCGGAGTGGTGAGGGGCTAAGAATGTGAATCGCTTGCATGCGAAGGCAAAAAGTCAACACACAAAAACAGTTTATAGAGCGGCTCAGGGACTGTTCGGTATTTATGCCATAACCAAAATTGTGGCCAAGACCGCAGAGACTTCACATCAAATAGAAATTTGCGGCTGCTGTTAAAAACCAGCATCAACACACACACACACAGCAGCAGCAGCGCCCACAAGCACACTTACACACACCCACAGTCTGTCTGTACATGGTGTCCACATTTCCGCAGCAAATGTGTCAAATGTCACACACTCGCACACATACTGACACCTCCAGATACACACACATACACACACACACACTTAGGGAGCAATTGCATTACAACTACTTTTTGGCATGGCCAACAACTGGCTCTGACTCGACATTGGGTCTGCAGGATTTGCCTTGTCAAGCGGAAGCTGTTACCAAATGTAAAATTAACAATGGATTATGTGCTAGTTGTGCGTATGTGTGTGGGAGTGTAATTTTTCTATACACTGCACCTCCATTAAAAATGTGTATAAAAACAGTTTAATAGACATAGTATATAAGAGTATATATATTCTTGATTAGCATCAACAGTTAGCACAATCATCGTCTGTCTCTTTGTCCGTCTGTATAAACACATCGATCGATAATTTTCTTACTTTTCATTTAATCGATAGATCCCTGTGATGGCACAGCTTATTTACTTTTCGATTAATCGATAGATCCATGTGCTGGCACAGCTTATTGAGCGTAAATCGTAAAATATATGTACATATTTCAATTAAAACATATTCACATATTCACGCACCTATTACCACCCACCTTACCTAGTCGGGATTACTTACTTGATTTTAATACCCTATACCCTATAAAGATGAATAACAAGGTTATCATATTTATTCGCAAGTGACCCCTTTCTACATTTATGTTCTAAATTAGGAGCCAAGACAATCTAGACATGCCTGTCTTGATCGTCTGTCCGTTCCATTGAATTTTTTGACAATAAAAGCAAAAGTTATCTAAGATAGATAATTTTACGATGTGTGACTGGGTATAGGGTATCCCATAGTTGGATACCCTTGACTGGAGCAGTCCCAATTGTTTTTTGTTTTTTGTATTGACGGCTTAATGTGTCTAAAATGTTACGAGAACTCTGAGCTCTGTATGGTTGCAATTGAAATTGAAGCGTAGGCCAAGTGGAGCCACTTGTCCATTGACTGCTGTTGGACACTGTCTTACTCAAATTACCCTAATGAAGTGCTATAGGAATGTAAATTGAATAGCAGCCGTTGCTACACATTACGAATTCATTTGACGAGGGCTTAAAGAACGAGATGAATAGTGCCAAAATGCAACGCATTGAACTTTGCTCTGCTTTTGAGGCTAGTTTTCTGTTTGTATGCAAATGTTTGGCACATGCTTTGCCGGAAAATCCGAAATCAATTCCCACCATGGGGCAGCGCAGTCGCCGGCGCAATATCCAAAGCAAAACATGGAGTGTACTCATACAAAATTAGTTCGCTGCTCATAAAAGTTTCGGCAAAGTTTGCCGTCGCCTTCCGTCGTCGTGCCGTGTGTGTGCCCCCAATGCTCGTAACTTGCCTCCTTCGCACTGATTTGTGCCACAAAACAATTTCGTGCTGCGGGGACCATCACTTGAGAAACTTTCGTCCCAATGGTTTAATTGTATTTTCAGTTTCCAGCTCTCGCAAAAACAACAACAAAACCAAAAAAAAAAAAAAAACTGAAAATCTCCGTGAAATGCGTACATACATTGCATTTTCATGCGTGATAAACGCGGCGCATTCTTGCAGCTCTGTGCTTCGATTAGGAGCGCGGCTTTCCTTTGCTCGCACCGCCACGCCTTCTCTTTATTTCCGCGCACCGGTTGTGTCTTTCATTTTGTCCCGAATCCCAACTGACCCTTGTCGCTGGCCGTGTTTTTGTGCCCAAGCACTGCGTGGAAGCTCTTTGTTTTGCTTTTTCCATCGTAGCACACCGTTCCATTGAGGTCTATCATCACCCGGCTTTACCATATTAACGAACAAGCGTGAAGTCCACTGAATAGCAGAGCCTTGTGGTTGAAGGTACACTGTGAAAATTAAGCGAATATTTTAAATTTTAGTCAAATATAACTGACATTAGCAGTATTATGAAAATCTGAAACACATGTTCCAGGCTCTTGTGCTTCCATTTTATGAATTTAAATGCTTACTTAAATACAAAACATCTAAAATTCTATATGAAAAATTATAAATTTAGGTGCATAAGAACTTTCAATTCTTATTTTTGGATAGTTTTAATTTGTGAAAGTTCTAATTTCTGAATCGAAATTGTGTTGATATCATTTGAATTATTAACGTTAATTAATATTTAAATAACTATTACTTTTATATTTTTTTTTGAAGGTAACAAACTACACAAACAATTACATCTGGAACATTGCCTGGAATTCGAGTTGCGTACCTTGAGGTTAAAAAAGGTAAGTTATAATACATTTATTTTTAATTTGCAACATTTATTTTGTAAATATGATAACCCGTACATATGCCTTAATTACTTTAATATATGTTCTTAATTTTAACTACC